ATTCTGCCATCGACACCTACCATCGCCTCAAAAATACATAAGCGCAATCAGATGTAAATACCAGTTTTACGTGTGAATTCAGGGAGTTAATTTTTTAGTAAGGTTCATTCAAAGTTATACACTTTAGGTCACAAAATTCACCTGGCGCAGGTAACTTTCGTACCAAAGTTGTGCATCAGCCCTATGCCTAGAGTAACGGACTGCGAGCATAAACGAATTAACTACTGTTCATCGATAGGACCACTATCATTTTCAACAAACAAACAGATTCGATGACTTGTGCCGTGCGTGAATGACAGCTAACGTTGACTGGGCATTAGTATAACTGTAAATTAATAGAATTTTGTTTCTGACTAACGCATTTTATTTACCTCATAACGTAGGCTCAACAGACACTTAACAGTTTCTAACATTCGATGAAAGATCCAGCATGCTGCTTAGTAGACCGAACGGTAAACCTCTAATCAACTTTCCATTTCAGCGAATGCCAGATTCAGCTGTTGTGAATAAATGGACAGTTGAAATACGACGAAACTGCTTATCCAAAAAGTGAATGACAGTCATATGATTCTAGACCACATGAACCTCCAGACGTTGCTTAGGTCGATAAATTATGCAGTAATTAATCAGTAATATGATAACCAAGAGTCTACTGAGTGCAGTTTCGGAGGTCAGAAAACTCACAGGACGTTAGAAATCGTTACGCAAAAAATGGGAGTGTTACCTTACCGAAACGCAGGCCATTAAATACAGGGTCATCTTCAAGAAGAGTAGCAGCGCAGATTGGAAGCCTTAAATTACCACAATAACAGCAGTCGCACACAACGATCGCCATTTATTACCTGTTGGCTTGTGGATGACGCTGTATTTTCATATCCGAAATTCGATAAATGATACTTTCCGAGTGACTGGCGCCTGAAATGTGTCTCCAGGCCGGCTAAAAACGATAAATATGACTAAAACAGAGCATGAAAGCTGCTAAATGGCACAGTAAAAAACGTAAATAAACGAAATCGTCAATCTGCTTGCTAGAACTTGAACCTTTACCGCTTTCTGAAGCTTCACCACCTGTCTATAACTACGATATCTCTGAAGGCGTTTATATACTATTTGCTTTTGTGTTGCATACAGGACAACGGTTGTAACTGTCGAAAGTAAATCTCAAAAACCATCTATGTTTCCCATGGATCAGACATAATCAATCTGAACATGACACTACTCACGTTTTAGCCTTCGGCGGCGAAAATAACAATAACAATCAATGGTAGATATAACTCTGCGAACCTGTACTATTTTATTTTACAGTGCTAAGTATACAAGCGAAAGCAGGAAGATGTTTTTCAGTTAGGAATATGATGAACAGCTGCAAGAGAAAAGAAGAAACAGAACAAGTGTTCATTTACAAACATTTCAGATCATATCAAAGATTTTTTCGACATAACATAAGGACGTATGCAAAGTAAGTTCAGTACATTATCAGAAAAACGATAAATAGGCAAAAAAGATGCGTAATAAAATAGCTCTCGCACCAAAAATAAAGGGTGACTGTTTAAACAAATGCTGAGGAAGATGGAAACGAGCGTATGAATGAACTCCGCCACACTTATGACTGGAATGATAATCTGAACATCTCAGTTGAAGAAGTTGACACTCAAAAAAATCCATTTATGACCAACGACTGTAATTCATCGTCAGCTAGATTATACAATCGATTGTTTCCTACGCACGAACAAGCAACAAATGTGGAGGTACGTGTTCTAATTACCTCAATAACGAAAGTATCCTCAGGAAGTGAAAGCGTTCCGATAAGTCCACCATCTTCATCCACGTGCATGGAAACAACTGATGAATTTATTCCTAAAGCAACAACAATGTAATCCACCAAAACTTTTATTTATTCATTTATTGACTGACGGGTCATGCCATGTACGTGATTGCTGCCACGTGGTAAATCAATGCGAACTGTAGTTACAAGGCTCACGCTCCAAACAGCATGGTCGCAAGTCTCAAACAAATACAGCATGATCATACCAGAACACAATGCCGTCGGGTTCTTTGCAAGGCAACGACTTGCTACCCGTTTCTCAACCGGCTGCACCGAAATACAATTGGGTAAATTCCTTATTCGGCTTCGATATGATAGATCACGCTAAAGGTAACTATACAACCCACTATGTCACTGCTACTACTATTGTAAACGATTGGCAACGACCATTTACATTTGAATCCCTTAATGCACAAACATATAAAACCTAAGCTGGACTTGGACTGACCCTCTGTCCTTAACACAAATCAAAAGTTCGACTATTACGTTGCGCAGACAGACAGCAACAAAGGCTGACGAATTATAAGTACGATTTCCTTCACGAATGTAAGAAAAAATATTAACGAACGATTATTCTATTTGCACAACAATATTAGCAAAACATGACTTGCAGCACTGCCTGTGAGAGTAACAAACACGAGTCATTTGGGTTTACATCTCATTACTGTCCCACGCTTTGCTTTTAGAGAACGACCACTTAACAGACTTTGCATTAATGCACGACAAGTGCTGTATTTCCATGGAGCCGTGGAATACTCAAATGATCCTCTAAGTCATTCTAAGAAATGGGAAGTTGCAGTAATACAATTTTACCTCAGAAATTAATACCAGTATACCACGAGTGCAAAAGCATCCCCTTCAGCGACTGGAAACGGTGGTGCAATATGACGTGTAAAACGAAAAAAAAGGAATACTATAAAATCCAGTATGGCTCTCAACGACGTTATAAATTAAAGCTGTTACAGATATTTCGAATAAGACCTGGGATGTTCAGTCGGTGAGCGTGATATTCAGAACCGAGAGGTCAAAGATTCGGGCTCCAATCAGGTCACATGACTTTCTTCCTTCTGAGGATGATAAATAAGAACCACTCTGTGAGAACGAAACACACCATGCTTGCCACACAGCTGCTGTGCACTATGCTTTAAAAAACATTGTCCTGCTGATTGATGGCACGGAAATGGAGAACAGCGACCCATGATTAACGTCGTGAAGCGAAGGCCGCCAGAAATGGCCTCATCGTGAAAGTAGAAACCGACATTCCAACGTTTGCAAACTTTCCTACATCTTAATATTTCGACTAAACAATTTTAGCTTTGTAGATGTATCAAAAATCACACAGTAACGTAGACAAATAATAATGAAAGGTGTTTCTTCGTAGGAAGGACTTTTTGCTGACTACAAACGCTGCTTCTATCCGTTACCCTGGGCGGATCGAATTTTAAAAGAAGGTTTGTTTAATAAATTTTTTCACAAATCTCCATCGCAAAATTTTCGCAGGGCATATTCCATACATAAATTTTTAAACAAACTCCGGACGTTTCGAATCGAGCTGAATTCATTTTCAGGGAACCTCATGAAACAGATCGCTGGCAAATACAAAAATACGCATCTGTAACATCCATAACTGATTCATAACATATAGCATATCAGTAACAAATACAGATTACCGACATTGTTTGGGCACTTGTTAAATAATGGCCACTAAATGTAGATCCAGTTCAATTGAAAACATCGGGATTCTCTTTAATACAATTGATATCCGAAGTAAATCGTTGAAGATTTTGGCAAATAACAACTTTCCAGCAGCATAAAGAATGCAACTATTCTTTTTAAAACTATTTTCATAAATACAATTTTTGCCACACCTACTTACAAAAATTTCGGTGCCGTCTCTATGCTCACAGAGAATTAGGAGACCAATTTAAGAAGATCGAAGATCCATGGCATAAATTTTTTTATTTAATATATGTTAACACATTATGTGGAGTTTTTGCCAGCTATCAGATGCGGATGGATCAAGTGAACTGCAATCGTAAAGCGTACGCATCCGACAGCATGGCCGTATGCCTCACATGTCTTAGCACATCTGCATAAAAACATAATGATGTCCAGATTATTTGCAGGTCAACGATCTACTGCAGATCTTTCGGCTGGTTGAACTCAAGCACAGATGGAGCGAATTTCTTACTGACGCGAATTAGCACTTAATAAGTCAAACTTCACGCCGCACGTTGGGTTTGAACCCGCATTATATCGTGTAAAGCAACGTAATAATTAAATGTGTCACTGCTCTACCCTACGCCCATACACCAAGGTATTTTAGCACTAGCACCAAAATGTTACTCGCATTGCAAAGAGGCAAGAATATTTGATTATTCATACCCCGTGATGCGTCAAAAGCAGATACTCATACTTTCTTAATATCTCATAAAAATTAGATCATATACTACTAACAAGTTAGTAAGTGAGTATCTCTATTAGTCTACACCGTATTATGGTCTCACTAACTTGCTCTCTAAATATCTAGGGCCATTTAAGCAACAGGCCAGGTTCATAATATTTCATGGTAAATGGAGCAGAGTTTTCACGGTTTATGACTTCAAGGCAATTAGGAGCACAGAAGCATTTGATAGCGTAGTTTAAACATGCCGAATTATGCATATCAGGGATTTTCATTAAAATAACCAGCTGTTTATGATGCTGGGAGGGAATACAAGGAGCACTGATTCCCACAACATCGCCGTTGACAAGTAATGCATTTCAGCAACCAATAAAGTGACATCAGATGCATCAGTAAACAATGAAGTGGTAGCATGCATGAGTAGGATAGACCAGTGGCGCAGTGGACCTTGTTTAGCGCTTTAGAGGTGCAGGATTTGAATCCAAGCGTGGCGTAAAATTTTCTTTGTGGCGCGGCGTTAAACTTACTAACTGACAATGCCCTTGAGCAAAGGAATTCATCCTACTGTGCAACCAGTAAAGAAACGGCTAACAAGTGATTTGTGAGTAATAGAAAGTGCGTAGTGTTCAGGCGCAGTCATGCCAATAACGATGAGACCAACGTCGATGAAATCTGAACCGTGTGTCATACGACTGCAGTTAGTCTTAACTTCCCTCCCTCAACAGGAGAAGAAAAACTGATACAATATGTAAAACGCAATTTTACCTTACTTGTATGCACTTGTATAAGTAAATTTTATATACTTATATGTACCGTGGTTTTCCTGATAAAGAAGGTGAAACGGGATCGCTTCTCTCCAGATATTTAGACAGATAAACCGTTCGCCCATTACAATTCTGGAGTCACTCAACATGGCGTACCCTTTCACTGACACACCCAAATATCCTCAGTATCATCATCAGCTTTTTCACATTTACAGCTACATGAAGGCCTGTTTGAAACTTTGTCACAAACTTGTTTTCTGGAATTTTCATTCACTTTAAATAGCGAACTCTTCAGCTCATCTTGCCTTCGATCTGGAGGTCTTCCCACAGGTCGTTTACCCTCTATTTCAGCACTATCTACTGTCGCTCTGATCCAGCAATGGTCGGTTTTTCTTGCAACGTGTTTTGGTCATTGCCACTTAAATTGCTTCACTCGAGCATTGACATCAGAGACTTTCTGTTATCCACTCGTTCGTTGTCTTATTTTTTTCTTGTTATTCCCAACACATCTTTCCATGCTGTTCTGTGCAGTCTGCAGTGCATGAATAGTTTTCAGGTTGAGGGTCTACGTTTCACATTTATAGGTTAGCACTGTGAGCAAACACTTATCACACATCAAGTATATGAGGAAAATCTTTCATGTTTCACCTTTCGGTTACGCCATCATTCGAATGCTCAAAACTTTGGAAAATAATACTTCATCACGCTGTGGAATACAGCGACAACAGTTTGAATAACATAAAACGCTTCTCTACAGTACCTGGTACCAAGCAGTCGCAAACCTGTCATAAAAATCTAGTACGAGCACACCGTGAAGTTTCTGAGCATTTACGTATGATGCTACGCCTTAACCTATAACTGGGATCTCACCCGAAGGACAGCTAATTAAAAAATGCAGAGAAGTAAATCATAAATTAAAATTATTTAATTTTAAGAAATTCAACTGAAACTTAATAATAAAAATCTGGCTTAAAGATGAAACAGAAAATTATCAAAATAGAAACACAATAAGCAATTTAGGAAAAAATATTATTCC